ATTTTCAGCAAAAGTATCAACGAGAATTAGATAAGCTCGAAAAAGAAAACAGAGGACTCAGAAAGCAGTTGATTATGCTGAAAGGAGAGCCTATTGCCAAGCCTAGACATATAAAGGTATGTAGCATAGTATGTACTTTAAGTATATATGTACTCGGAAAGAATGTACATGACATATTAAAAATATAGATTGTGGGATACTTGTGTATGGCAAACCACAGGCAGCCCAAAGGAATTGACTTTGCGTAGTCATGACTAATTATTTAATTTTGAACTATAATTTAATACAACAAAGTATTAATTAAATGTACTGTATGAAGACTGATAKTAGTTTTGTATTTCTGTTTCTTAGAAATCCCTGATTGACATGTATTCTGATGTATTAGACCTATTAGCTGAGTATGATGTCAGTTATAACACAACAGACCATCTACCAAGGGTAAGTCAGTCAGTCAGTCAGTCAGTCAGTCAGTCAGTCAGTCAGTCAGTCAGTCAGTCAGTCAGTCAGTCAGTCAGTCAGTCAGTCAGTCAGTCAGTCAGTCATTCAGTCAGTCAGTCAGTCAGTTTGAGGAGTGGCTCAGTGCTTTGCCAGCTAATTGAGAGGGGTTTTACAAGAGATCATTGTCTTCATGACTAACTCATGCCTCACACACTTGTTCTGTACCTTGCCTTTAAAAATACTTTAAAATTAGAGCATGAACAGTGAAGGACAGTAAAGAGTATACCTTAGACCTTTTGGAATAGCAATTGTTTGTAGGTTTGTCTGGTTCTCAACCCATTTTTTGCCCACTTAATTCATAGTAAGTCATCGTTTGGAGAAACTCATCCACATAAACTTGGATAAACAGTTGTTATTTTGATCRAGATACTCAACCCAATTCTTTTAGGTTGTTGTGGTTGGCGATCAAAGTGCGGGTAAAACCAGTGTGTTAGAGATGGTTGCACAAGCTAGAATATTCCCCAGGTAAGCAGAAGGGTTGATGTATAATTTGGATAAAATTATTCTATAAGTGTGCATTAATTGCAAAACAGGATCTCCATGTCTGTTTTGACTTCTCACTAATCTGTGTAGCTTCAGCTTTACATACCCATAATAAGGAGCACTAATATTCTGAGAGGGTAAAGTGAGCACCTTCAAGTGCTTTATGTATGAGCCCCTGGCTCGGGAGAAGTGGGCAACCATTTCCCACATTAGCAAAAGTAGAATATCAAGTTTTTACKTTTTTTCTTTGTTCTTTTTTGCTTTACCTTTAATCGGATATTTTTATATTCATTCTTCAGAGGTTCTGGCCAGATGATGACAAGAGCTCCAGTGATGGTATGTGGATATTTTGTTATTATTTCTTATGGCAGCATGATACTTAAATTTGCTTTTAAGAGTTATGATTTGACTTATCTATCAATATAATGACAAAAACTCTCCTCCTTGCATTGACAGGTAACCTTGAGTGAAGGTCCAAATCACATTGCACAGTTCAAGGGAAGCTCTAAGGTTTTTGATTTGACACAAGAAAATGAGGTAAGTGGTCTTCCTGYCCAATACAAAAAAATATGGAAGCTTTGTTTGGGGCTTTAGGTGTTACAATATTGACCATTTACAAAACTCAGTGTCTCAGAAGAAAAAAATGAGCCAGTCCTTTTTTACTAGTACRAAGATTCAATAACGATAGCTAGGACTGCTGAGCACCTTAAAAAGTAGGGGGCCTAAGATTGGAAAATATAGACTGGTATGGGAAAAAGAGTGTTGTACACAAAAAGAAAAAAGTAGGGAGGGGTGCTGTTTAAAGCCCCCCCAACCCCTCCTACTACACAGTCTTGAATACCCTGTATCTTGTAGTAGCAATAAATATAGTACATTATAAAATAACTGTCATAAATATTGCATTCTGATTGATTGGGAGAGCGTGCTTTATGAGAGCACRCGCGCCCTTTGCATTTTATAAAAGAAATAAAAAGCTTGCTTGCTGTGCTGTGTGGCRTTATAAAGCACTTRGGGATTGGCAGAACACTCAAGAAGTGTCCAGAAGCACTCTGCTACCCGTGGTGCTTCTCCTAACACTTCTTTCGTGTTCTACCTATCCCCACATGCTTTATGACTGCACACAGCATGTGCACATGTTTACTTATTTCTTCATGAGTTGTACAGTCTTGAAAAATCTCACATCCATTCTTACTTTACAGCTAAAGGATTTGAGGCATGAAGTTGAAGTTCGTATGAAGAACAGTGTAAAAGATGGACAGACTGTTAGCCCTGAGGTAAGATGAATATTTCCTGATCAGTGGAATGAAGAACTTCACTGTATATATATATAACTCACTGTATATTTTGAGTCAGCAAGTTTACATTTCTTATTTCATTTTTAAAGGTCATCTCCATGACTGTTAAGGGACCTGGTTTGCATCGAATGGTCCTGGTTGATTTGCCAGGGATTATTGGGGTAGGTTGCGATCGTGAATGATGTAATTATCATATGTTATGTCATAGTAGAAACATTGATAGATTTTGAAGAAGCTTAGGATTTAACAGATCAAAAACAGTTTTCCGTGTTTGATACTCTGATCAAAACACGCTGGATGTTGAGAGAACACGAGAGTAGCATAGGAAACCACGACGCGTAGCGGAGTGGTTTCAGGCTTCTTGAGTGTTCTCCCAACATCTCAAGTGTTTTGATCAGAGTATCAAACAYGGAAAGCTGTTTTTGGTTTGTTTTATRAAATAACAAACGCGCGGAAAGATCGAAAAAAAACAACAAAGTATAAGTAAATTCTCCCTACGTGCTGTCTTATTCAAACTGACCAGTCTTATTCAATCTGACAGTTGCAATACTCGTGTGCGCTAAAATGATGATAGCATGTTTTGATACACTCATMAAACATGGTTTTCGACCAATCATAGTGTGCTAGTATCCCAATTGTTTTATAAAATATATTCCTAACTAATTCCTTATAAATATTTAAAATTATTTCGTACTCTTTGCAACAAAAATTTAAATAAATGCCTGGGAATTTGCCTGGGTGATACCTATTTTGGTCCCTTTGCTGGCTAACACTAGACACTTTTGTAAAAAGTCTTTTAATTGATAGAAAAATTCATAAAAAATGAGTCTGGTGGCCACGGTTAGGCTTGTTGCTCTGTAAATTCCTTCACTCTCTTTGTGTTTTACAAGACAGTTGACTTTTGCCACRTTTGAGCCCTATTTTTAATGATGAGTTGATTTTATTCTTTAGACAACAACCACAGGCATGGCTGAAAACACCAAGAATGACATTGAACAGATGAGCAGGTACAGTACTTTTTAACATACTGTTCCATAAAAACTGGCCTGGTTAACTATAAAAATCCTGGGMTTGTACTCATTTATAAACAAGGTGCTTTGATCCATGGGCCTATAAAACCTGGAGTGTAGGCCCAGGGGGTGGGGATTGTAACGGAAAGGGGAAGGAARAAAGAAGAAATGGTTATTTTTTTCTTTCTTTTTTTAAGTCAATCTTTCATATCACTTACAACAGAAACGTGGGATACCAGAAGTGGGATTATTTATTCATACAGTAAATGGATTTTGTGTTTTTTYGTTTTTTGATTTTMGTTTTTTTGTTTTTTTGTTTTTGTTTTTGTTTGTTTTTTGTTTGGTTTTTGGTATTTAATAATTTGGTGTTTTTATTGGAAATTCACAGGAGATACATGCAGAATCCTAATGCTATTATACTATGCATCCAAGGTAATAAAATATCCATTCAAGTTTTTCGTGCTGTCTGGCTCCTTATTCACRAGGTTTTCTTAATTTCAATTCGGTGTTGGGTTGGACTTCATGTTTACCTGTTTACATTTTTTCTTTCAGATGGTTCAATAGATGCTGARCGCAGTAATGTTACAGACTTAGTTAGTTCCATGGATCCTCAAGGAAAAAGGACAATATTTGTACTGACCAAAGTGGACTTGGCAGAGGGCAATGAAACAAGTCCTAGCAGGGTAAGTTTATTCAAATATTAGTCTTTATCATTTTTTATTCGTTAGTTAGCCAAGCGTATTGTCATAKTTTTGTAAAGGTGCTAATACAAGTCATGTACGTTGATTACTTGATCTAAAGCTCTTTTTCTAAATAGATCAAACAGATCCTGGAAGGTRAGCTTTTTCCTATGAAAGCTCTTGGTTACTTTGCTGTAGTTACTGGCACAGGTRAGTAATATTGAGTTTAGAGAATCCAAACATCCTGTTACTGAGGGGTAATACTGTAAACATTATGAGCCCTAAATTAGACCTTTTTAGCCTGGGCTTAATTTTTTCCCATTTCAGACCGCTTTTCATTCTCTTGAAAATAAGATTCTTTGTTTCAGTTTGTAATCCACATGTCTTCTCTTGTACAACTATTAAACAAAGAAATGATACTAAATGGAATGACACATGGTCTGAAATGGGAAAACATTACACCCCAAAATTGGTGTCTGAAGGGCATTGGTAGGGTGTTGGTAAGAAAGTGGAAACTACCAAGTTTAACACTCATGGAAATATCTAGAAAAGAAAGGCTTCAAATTTCATCTAGAGAAAGTGTGATTTCATTCATATTTTCATGTTAGCCTTACATCCAAGATAATTTTGAGAAGACTGGCTATTAAGTGCTACCCTTGTGAAAAAGGACTTTTTTTTAGAAGAGAAGGGTCTATTTTGGGGTTATATACTTTACTGTTACCATTTTAAAGTATCTGAGCTTTTTAAGGGAAGCTAACCTCACTAAATAATGAATATTTAACATCTGTTATAGGAAATACAAGTGAGAGTATTGAGAGTATTCGTAATGTAGAGGAGGAATATTTTAGGAATTCTAAGTTTTTCAAGTAAGTGAAATTTTAAGTGATTATTAATAATTAAATGGAGAGAGGGAGGGAGTGAGTAAAGAAGGTAGAGGAGGGGGGTAGTGAATGGCTGGAACAGGGAAAGTCAGGGCCATGAGAAGGTCTCAATTATAGGAGGGCGATGTCCATTTTCCTGCCAAATTCACAGGAATCCTWCATGAATTAATTTAAATTTTGGAGCTTTGGAACAGTTTACAGTCAAACTACCTCAAGCGTGAACACGTAGAGGTCATTAATGACTTTATTTTTGGATTCTTGATTTCATTTTTCGATTCGAAGATTCATTAATGAAAACGAATCTTCAATATTCAAAAAATGATAATTTGAAAAATTCGATTAACTTGGCTTGTAGGCTCTTGTTTATAGCGCAAACAGAAGGTAAGTCATTAATATTACATATTCCTTACACAAAAWGTTGTTTTGCATTTCAGTTGCATATGTGCTTGGCTTTTGTATATGCCAGGCTTTGAAGATTCGTTTTCATTAATGAATCTTCGAATCGAATAATGAAATCAAGAATCCAAAAATAAAGTCATTCATGACCTCTACGTGTTCACGCTTGAGGTAGTTTGACTGTAATGGGTGTACAAATAAAAAGAAAGAAGGAATGGATTAAGTCATTGATTGACAATATCTGTGCATAACTTTGATTCTGATATCAATCTCTGTGTTATGATTTAGAAATGAGATTTAGAAATAGGATTTAGATTTGGGATTCAGAAAGGTTTATAATATTTATTATCTGGAATGTACATTAATGGTCTGGTTAATTAAGACTATTTGCTGATTATTGACATGCGCTATTACATTTGTTGTTAAAGGTCTGGGGTTTTCAAAGCCAATCAGATGACAACACAGAATCTCAGCTTTGCTGTGTCGCATTGTTTCTGGAAAATGGTCAAGGAGTCAATCGAACAGCAGGCAGATGCGTACAAAGGTACATAAGAACATAGGTGATTTTGCAGTAACTTACAAATTTATCGCGCGTTGATTGGTTATTTTTTATCATCAATAAGAGGACAGACAGATAAAGCTGACGTCAACGAGCAAGCGCTCTTTCCGTTGGTTGTTTTGATCGCTAAGAATGAGAAATTTTTATTGTTTTTCGTTATTGCAAAAAAAAAAAAAGAAAAAGAAAAAATTACGCCTTGTGGATCCACACTACTTTGACAATGTGATGACGCAATTTATCGTCAATAAGAGGACAGACACATAAAAAACTGATGTCTATTTGTTAACTTTTAGAAAAACGTACAGCAACAGAGATATGAGAAAGCTATAAATAAGATTCAGGCCAAAAACACCTGGACTTTGAAATGCAATTGTCAGGGACAATTGAAATTCTTAAAAATCCCTGAAAAGTTGCTAATGGAGTGGTGATCTTGCACTCTAGGGAGAAAATCATTACAGCCCTTCTCAATCATATGCGTGAAATTGTACAATTTACGTTGCGACGAAGTAGGTTTTAGTGGTACATGCCCTTGAAATGTTTGTGTTTTCCAAACAATGTTATGGAAACACTTTGATTGGYGTCCATCAAAACTMTACTTTGTCACCAAAGAAAATTGTACGATTTTGCTCATATGATTGAGAAGCTCTGTAATTAGATAAGCCWCGTTACTGCAGGGAAATGATGGAGATGTGGTTGGTCTTGTGGATAAAATACATGAACGAACTGCAAAAGTGGACATGTGATGTAAAGAAAGTTTTTTCCGGTGTTGTTTTTCAGCCAAGAGATTTAACCTTGAAACAGAGTGGAAAAATCATTTCCCAAGACTAAGAGAACTGGACAGAGTAAGCCAATATTTGATAGATTGTTATAATAGATTCAGCCACCGTGACCCAGATTTGTTTAGGTAAAAATGCTTGACATATTTCATGTGGACACAGCCAATCCCTACATCTATTTTGGTGTCGTATGAATATAAGTGGCTGTAATCCAATTTGTTATGGCAAACATAACTGAGCTTATCTTCCCTGGACCCCCTTCCCCCAAAAATTCACACACCTACCTTCCTTATTCCTTATATCTCCGCCCAGTGAATCCTGAGTTATCCATTGAGTAATGGGTAGTTCCAGAAATTATCCATACCCACCCCACAGAGGAATTTGGAATTTCTGGGGGTCAGATAGAACAAAAATTTCAGAGTTTGTATGGAAGAAAATTGGAATTTCCAGGGGGTAGGGGGGTGTCTTAATTTTTGGAACTACACAATAGGCCAATTAACTGAAAGGACTTCCAATTTACAGAACGAATTATTTGACAAAGCAAGAGGTGAAATCCTGGATGAAGTTCTCAGTCTTGGTGACATCAGTCCTCAGCAGTGGGAAGAAATCCTATTGGAKCGTTTATGGACCAACATTTCTTCGCATTTCATTGAAGAAATCTATCTCCCTGCAGCCCAGACTAGCGATGCTAGTAATTTTAACACAAAAGTGGAGATCAAACTTAAACAATGGGCTGACCAGCAGTTACCTGAAATGTCTGTACAGGTATGGAATATAGACCTCTTTACCTTGGACGTAATGTTTTCTATTTCAGWYCATGTGTCATTCTCTTGAGAATAAGATGATTTGTTTGAGTGGTATCCATATTTGTMAGTCTTCTCTCGTGTCTTCTCTTGTGCAATCATCCTCGATAGAATGGCACATGGTCTGAAAATATGTACACCTATTTGAATAAACGTTGTCATCGYCAAAGGCGATTGGCGATAAGCGATTGTTTTTGTCTACTAAATTGAGCTGCTTTGACGTCACGTGCAAGGGGTCTATGTTGCAAAGTTGGACGCCGTACATATACAATTTATAATTGCGCACAACGTTCTGCGCAATATTTGCAACATGTCTGCCCAGAAAGTATCAAATTTGTTCGCCTGAGTTTTGTGTTAATTTATTTTTAGGTTGGCTGGGAAACACTGTTTGAAGAATTCGACAAGGCAAAAGAGGTAATTGAAACCATAATTCCGGTGTGAGCTTATTGTTATTAGCCTGCGTGCAGCCGAACTAACTAACTGTTAAGTATACGTCGAGCAAAAAGTCCGGCTGCACACAGGCTAATTCTTACAGAAAAAAATAAATTTTTGAATGAAAACAGAAAGTCTGATATAACTAAGAAAACATCCTTCTTTAAATTAACGATTTCATTTGTTAAACTGTAGGCAACCAAAGAAGCAAAGCTGTCTAAAGCAAGCCAGGTCCATTTGTTTGAGGAACTCAAGGCTGAAGTTGCTAATGAATGTAAAAAGAGTCATTTTTGGCAACCGAAGGCAAAGGACAGTTTGGTAAGTAAACACAAATCGACTTCTTTACCTTTTTCTTTACTTTACCTTTGCGAACTATATAGCGTGGGTTACCTTTGTTTATTACGAAGAACGCCTGGGAGCTTTCAATCTGAGTTTGACTTTTCGCTGTTTTGCTTTTGGTCGTTTGACAAATCGCCTGAAAACAAAATGTCGGAGGCCAAACGGAGAAATGTCAAAAGCGACAAAATGACAAAATGCTGGACGACAGAGTCGCCCAGCATTTTATTTTGTGCAGGATTTATTTTTTACAGCTCATGGCTGTGCAGGAATTTTTTGGGGACATAATGTAGAATTTTTTTTCTGGCACTTTTCTTATGCACGATTTTTTTTCTTTCTTTAAAGCTGAGCTCGAATTTTTTTGTTTTTTGTTTTTTGCCCAACCCTCTCCCCCCCTCAAAAATCTAAAGTTCCGTCCCTAATCTTGATTGTATTGTGTTTCTAGCGTGTTATTCAGTTGACKGCACTTGAAGACTGGTCTGTCGCTGATAAACAACAGTGGGATGCTGCAGTCAGATTCATGGAAAATACATTACAGGATAAATTAAATGAAAGTAAGTGAACGCTATATCATTTTCTTTTAATATTTGTCGTGGTTCTATCAGGTAAATTCTCGGGGTGTATTTTAACGTCATAGCCACAACCTTGGTTGACTGTATAAAAATCATTCCTCATTAGCTTCTCTCGTTGGATCAACCAAGATGGCGGCTGTTTTATTGTTATTTATATCTCAATGGATTTTTTGGTCACGTTGGTTGCACTCCAATAATAGTAGTGTAACAAATAAAAAGCACTCAGTTATGTTCAAAATTTATATTACTTTTAACTATGTTTTGGCTAATAATTGCTGGAATTACTTGCTGTTTATACAGGCTCTAAGAATGTACACGAGTTAATCGGCCCTGGAGCTTGGGAGCGWTGGCTTTACTGGAAGTATCGTTCGCAAACACAGGTATGATATGCATATCATATGGATGTATTAAGGATTATATTAGTCCGACCTAGACCCACTTTTATCGATGCGCGCGGCGGAGACAAACCGAGAAGCGAAAATAGATTGGTAAAGAGTTTTCTTTGCGTTTCGCAAGCGTGCGGTATTCCCTTTTATTTTTGAGAGATAAATTAATCAGTTAGTGTGAACAGTGGGTCCAGTTTTGGACTAGTTCTGCAAAACGTAAGTAGCGCATGATGTTCCCGGATTTTGATTGGACAAACATTARCCTATCATCAGTTACTTTGTACCGTGCCCTTTCCCTTTATTTTCCTCTMTACTTTACGCTACGGTTATCATTAAGGGAGAAAACAGGAAAGGAAAAGGGGAAATAATAAAGAATAACTTTACAGTGCGACTACATCAACCAAGGCCACCACAACAAATTTCAAATCAAATTCACGACTCACGTTTTTAACGCCACATAACAGATTAATTAGTGAATTCTGGGTTCTAAACTGTTTCTTRTTCACTYCTGATCATACRCACACTCATATAAAATAAAATATATGACTTTAAAGAGAAAAATGTGAAAATTTGTACAGATTCTATTGTTTAAATACTCAATCGTGATTGRCTAATTTGTATGAAAATWTGTTTGRGTGGCCTTGGTTRGKKTAKTCGCACARTAATGTCGGTCGTTTGAACATAGTCTTGTTTTTGTCTTAGCTCAATCGTTCGTACATAAAAGAAGAACTTCAAAGGCTTTTACAAGCCCACGAGGTGAGTCTATAGTTTTCTAAATCCTGTTCTACGTCGAGAAAGAAGACGGGGAGAGAATGATGCGARAAAAAATATAAGGAAGGAATCTTGAAAGGAAGGGAAATAAAGGCAGAAGTTGAGAGAAAAGGAGAGAAGAAGCAAAATCTTAACCAATCATATTTGATTTTTTAGGATCATGAACCCAATCTATCAAGCGATGAAGTCACCACTGTTAGAAAAAATATGGACACAATCAATATTCAAGTCGAAAAAGACTTGGTAAGAAAGATATGTCAATCTAGTAGTGGGATGACTTGTTAAAAAAAGAGAGGATCCAATTTGAAATGCTTAATTATTCTTGTATTAAAGATGGTTCTTAGACTTGCTCCAAGTCAGCCTCTCTTGTCTCCCGCGAGAGGATTTTATTCGATCGAAGCGAGAAATTTGTCGAGCGCAGCGAAGAGCGACGAAGTTGTGCAGATGGCGGCGGACTTTGCAAAAATCTAGAGGACGTTTGCGACTTATAAACTAGTTGCATGCGTGTGGCAAAGCAGAACAGTAAAACCTGTTTCTTGTTCCTTCGAAGTCGCGCCTAGGACGCACGGTGTGCTTTTATCGACCGTATATCACGGTGTGCCTTTAAAACATTGGCGAGAGTGCTCGTGTCTACTTCTTAGCTCGCTGCGCAAAAGTGCACGCAGATGCAACAGCTTCTATTGATGGGTTGCAAGCATTCCCAAGAGAGTTAAAAGACAAAAACATGGCGGCCATTGTGGTGCCGTTAACAATGGATGTTAATGAGAAATCTTTTGTTAAATAGTACCAACATGGCCGCGATGACGTAACGTGCAAACGAAGAATTCGTTGAGCATTTTGAACATCGAACACTTACATCTACGKGTGGCTGATTCTTCATACTAACCAAAATTGAAACAAATATATTTTTTAGATCGAAGAAACGTGGTCACAGCTGTATCGTGAACATTTCTTAAAACGAGCCATTGCATCTGCACAAGAATGTAGAGGTGTATACCACAGAAGAGATTCTGTAAAGAGTGAAGTAAGCATAGTGAATGAAAAATCCTTCCTATCATTATTAGAATAGGAAATCGCACGATCTCGAATCAGAATCTACTGTCGAGTGTATAGACCTTATATTCATGGTGTGACAATGTTTTCTCAATTCAGTGTGACAAACCTCTGGGGGAATGAAGAGCTATTGTTTTGCAACTCGTCGGGATATCGTTATTCCTTTCGTATCCTTTGGGATAATCATGAATTTTTCGAAGAGTTAAAACAAAAGAAAATGAATCCCCTGGAGGTTTGTCACGCTGAATTGGGAAAACATTGTCACACACGAATAAGGTCTATTATAAAGGGTGGTAATGCGGTAGTGGCTCTCACCTCTAGGGTATGGGTAATGTGGTCTAGGATTGGATTCCTGGACTTGGCATCACATGTGATTAAAGTTTGTTAGGTCTCTTCCTTGATTCGAAGGTTTTTTAAATTCCAATAAGCTAAATTCCGATTCGATCTGTGAGTTATCCATGCCCTGAGTTTAATCATCCCAAAGGTCGTTTCAGGGTGTATAACCGACATTTGAAGATTTTATTGCCATGTCCATACTTTCATCTTTCGTTATCGAATGTTTTATTTAGTTGCAATGTAATGACGTGGTTCTGTTTTGGAGAATCCAGAAGATGTTGCAGACGACGAGTAACGCCTTGCGGCAGCAGATTATGAACCAAGAAGGTAAGTCTTCTCTAGTAATCTTCAATAYACGTAGATTTGCTCTGGTCCTGATTGTGGCAATCCTTCATTTTTGAAACCTAAATTATTCACTTGTTGTCAAGAAAAAAACGTCATCGCCAGGGGCGATAGAATATAGGCGATAGTCGAAAGGCAACAGGAGATAGGTCATTCCAAGATCAAAGAATAGCTGGAATGACTTGTGTTTCTGCTTCTTATTCTCGTCAATAACATGGACTTCAGTGTTGAAATTCATTCAATAATCTTTGTATCCTTGGTTTGCAATCAATCCCAAGAGAGCACGATAACAAAAGGGATGTCCGCCATGTTGGAAGATATAACAAAAGAATTCATTGAAAAATCTTTTGTCAAATTCTTCCAACATGGCGGCTATGACGTCTATTGCAAACGAAGAATTCAACAAAACCATTTCTGTGTCGGAATGACTTATCGCCTATCGCCTTTGGCGATGACAGCGTTTATTGAAATAGGTGTGTTCCATAATAGGGTCCAAAACAAACTAAAAAAGTATTGCAATCAATTTATTTTTAATTTTTTTTGTCCTCAGCACGGCGTCTTGAAAAAGAAGTCAAACAAGTGCTTGATGAAATCGGCTACAACCAGAAAGACAAAGAACGCTTGATCAATGGACGACAAGTAGATTTGGCCGAAGAACTGAGTAAGTAGTGTATGGCCTCTTCTTATTTTGATGCCCCCATGCCCCCCCCCCCCCTCCCTCGCCATGTTCGTTTCTTGTCACGTGGGGATGTAGCTAATTATTTACCGTGCCCGAGCCGTGCCCTTTCACAGCCGTATAGCGATGACGGAGACGAGAAATGAAATAATGATAGGCATCTGAAAATGCATAATTGTGTTGCGAATGGGAAATGGGAAAGATGGTTGATCATGGTTGAATATGTTGATTGTAATATTATACCACCTCCAAATTTCCGTTAAAGATAATAAGAATTTACGGGGGGAAAGTACTAGTAGTTTCCCTGAAGCAAATCAATTGATTGGTTGCAAGCATTCCCAAGACAGTTAAAAGACAAAAGCATGACGGCCATTGTGGTGCTGTTAACAATGGATGCTTATAAGAAAACTTTTGTTAAATGGCACCAACGCTCCCCTGAGAGGTCGCGATAACGTAACGTGCAATCGAAGAATAACAGGTCGTTGATGTTATTTTATTGTTATTATAATCATAATTATAATTATAATAATAATTATTATTATTTCTTTCAGAACGAGTACGTCATATCCAAGAAAGTTTAGAACAATTCATAGAGGCCTTAAATAGTGAAAGATAATGTAAACGTTAAAATATGAGTTTGGAAAACCAAGTGTAGAAATCTCTATTATGAAACATGAACCTCCAACTATGCTGATGGTTCTGTCACCGCTCCGCGTTCTGGTTGGTGCTTGGGCTGCCTGTGGTCAGTTAAAGTGCTAAGAGCATATCAATRATTTTTTCATCTAGTTATAATAATTCTCTGTCAAACTTATACTAAGAATAGGGAGCGGAATTTTAAATAAATGACGAGATGTGTTCTATGTCTGGTGTTCTGRTGTCTAATTGGTTGTAATAAGCCTTTTCATAGTTTAAGAATCGATTCCACTGCGCATGCGATTTTATCCCGAATTTCTCACCTTCTTTTGTCTAAACCTTCTTTTGTTAATTAAACAAAAGGTGAGAAATTCGGGATAAAATCGCATGCGCAGTGGAATCGATTCTTAAAGACCCATTGCCACTTACTGTGATGCATCACAATTTGTTTACATTTTGAATCGTGTCTCCACTGAAAAAAAAATTCCAACATTTTGAATAAACTCTTAGATAATCCCTAAAGCCGTAAAAGAATGTAAAAGAATAATTATTGTGCCTTAGTGCTATGTTGGAAAAGGATTTAATATGAAGTTATTTTTCAATATATGAACCTTTGAATTTCATGGACCACGAAATTCATCTGTGACCGGGGTGTATCACGGTAAGTGACAATGGGTCTTTAAACTATGAAAAGGCTTATACTTGTAATACTTTTACCAATATAGTCTTTGGGAACCCTGTGGTCTTACTGATAAAACAAGTCTCAAAACAAACAAACAAATAACCTCATTCTTCCAGCACCAACACATTTCAATTCACCATTTTTTCTTAAAAACGTATTTAGGTCTTTGATAACTACATTTTACCAATCATTCATTCTATTTGAATTTGAACTCGAATGAAGCTGGCTGCTAATATACATTCTCAAACAGATTAAAAAAATTGACATGACACAAATGATGTTCGTTACATCACATAGCTACTATTATAAAAGCATTGGTATTTAGTAACAAAGCAACATTCTGTAATTTTCGCTTTCATGTTCATATTAGAATCCAAGCTAAAACTTCAAACTAATCTAAATAATCGTTTCTTATTAGTTGAAGGTGTGAACATGCTATCATGCATGCTATGATAAGATGACTATTAAGCTTATTTGTTCTGCTCTAACTCTCTAACCGAGCATGAATTTCTTCTTCAAATGTGATATTCATAGGTTATCCTATTTGTTTGGCATGCCATGATTGCTTTCCCRATATACCATTCGTTATTTCAGCTATTTTGAAGGTCATTTTCWTGCTCTTCTACTTCAACTCTCTTCTTCGCCTTGAAATGTTTACGTAAATGTTTCGACGAGTTTCCAGCAGTTTTCGGTAAACTAGGTGGTTTAGGAACGCGATGTTCACTAGTATCTTGAGCAGTAGCAGGAGAAGGAGTCGAGGAATAACTTGCAGTCCTTTGAACCTGGGAAAGCCTTTTTTGAATACGATGTTTTGATTTAGATTTTGTCGAAGGAAGCCTGGCTTCAGAGTTACTGCTTCCTTGTAATGGACTCAATGGACTTCTCTTCGATCCGTGAAGCTGACGATCCCGAGGCGTCATTGCGTGGAAAGAACCGTGTTTTACCCCAGTTAAGGTGTGCTTTGGAGTTTGATCAATTCTTGGAAGAAAAGTAGTTTTTTGAGAAGTCCTGACTTCTTCAGCAGACAGCTTCGGCAAAGATACATGCTCTACCACAGGTAAACCTGACATGTCGGTTCTGCTATGCCTGTAAGTACTATCTCTGGCTTCTGCCTTGGCAATCGGATTGATATCCCTAATTCTAGTACTCGAATTTCTCCTAGCATGATTTAGATGTTTTGGTATGTGAGTCAGGCTATTTGGGCTTCCCAAGAACTTTTTTGGCACATAAATCGGTGCTAAAAACGGCTCKGCTCGACCGCCATATGTGGATGGACTTGCTCCTGGAGTTGGCGTTGGAGGTCGCTCTAAAAGTGCCGCATGTTTTATCGCTAAAATCGCAGGTTGAATGCACTTTGYCTTCTCTTTGCTTCTTGAGATAACAAGTGGAGAGGTTTCATGAGGGTTCTTTGCTGAAGGAGATTTTTTGGTCATGTCTTTTTTCTGTCCATCTGWTCTGATACTGATCGCTTACTAACAAACGTAACTACGGCAACGTGACGTCAGAAAGACTATACTACGCACGCGCGTAATTTTAAATAAAGGAAGCCCAGTACATTTATTTTGTAAATTGGAAGCAAGAAACGAGGGACAGAATTTTACCCCTGGGTTCCCGAGGATGAGTACATTTCTTCATGTCCTCATGCCGATCTCGGGGATTTATGTAATTATTAAATTCAAGTTATTAAAAAACCAGCAGCGGTGAACCATGCAAACAAGCATCGCGAGTATCTGGCCAAGATTGAAACCTCACTTCACAGCAAACCCAAAATTTTTTTGGAGCTATCACAAGGCTATTCTTCATCATAAATCAAGCTCTAGTCCTGTTCCTAACCTATGGTGGCGTGACAGTTAACACTCCTGCTAAGAAAGCTGAACTCTTTAACTCCTACTTCTCGTCGGTTTTCTCTGTTCCACGATCAACTGTGGACACAACTCGGAGCAACAACGTTTTCTCTCCAAAGACTGATCTAAAGTTATCTGATATCAACCTTAGTGTAGAAGAAGTTACCAAGTGTCTGTGTACTCTTGACACCTCGAAAGCTGGTGGGGATGGGTTTCCTACTCGTCTCCTAAAGGACTGTGGTCACCAATTAGCACCTAGCATCTGCAATATGTTCAATCTTTCTTTACTCTTGGGAAAACTCCCTTCGGAATGCGAAACTGGCTGATGTCACTCCAATACACAAAAGAGATTCAAAGGAACTTGATGAAAACTACCGTCCAATTTCTTTCCTGTCCATACATGGCAAAGTACTAGAACGCTGTGTTTGCCCGAAGGGGGGGGGGGGGGGGG